TTACAACTCCAAAAAAACGAAGCTAAGACAGCTTCATGAAAGTGGCCATTTCCCTTTTTTGTTCCTTTACAGATAAAAGAAAGTGATTTGGGGCACCTTAAGCAACAAGTTGGACAGGAATGAGAATGTTCCACTTAGAAGGGTCCTGCCCAGGAGAAGGTAAGGCCTTTCTGTTTGCCTTATAATCTATAATAACTTTATCAACAAATACTGAACCAAGTGTCCAGAATAACCACATAAGCGTTGCTGAGTTTAAGACACCTACATAGCAACAGCCTTGCGATGGGAAAACATTAATGCTTTTTATATTGGTAATCATCTGTAACACGAGCAATTAAGTACAGTACTAATGGACTATGGCCAGGAGCCTGGTACTAATATTAAAAACTGACAGAGATGAATAGCTTTGGAAGCAAAACCAGGCTGACAAAGACATTTTTATGAAGTGCTTGGACCTATTTGATTTAAACCAATCAGAGGCAAGTTTGGACGAGTCAGGCCTTCAGCGACAATGATGCATTCAAGGCATTGTACCGTTTCTGCTATGCCTTAAATAAAAACACCATTGATTCTTTGCAACAACCCACGCTGTTATTATTACACTCATTAATAAACCAAAAGTGCCCAACTAATACACAAGTAACATTTACGGAGGAGCTGGCTACTTTTTTCTTGTAAAATGAAAACATTTACTGGAAACACGAACCACAGTGCATGAAAAATAAATCAGTGGATAATGCAGAGTAAATCATTCAAGTCTTCATCTTCTAGGAGAGCAAAGCTGGCAGTAGGGAAATAGGAAAAAGAGCAAGAGTCTGTGTGTGAGAGTGAAAAGGACAGACCAGATAAACCGGCAGCCTGGTAGGGACTGTGACTATTCTAATCTGGTCTGGAAGGCTTTAAAAATCTCCAAGGGCAGGCCAGCTCTGTGGCCTAGTGGTTTAGGCAGCTGGATCCCACATGGCCAACTCCAGTTTGAGTTTCAGACCTGGTAGCTTTAGAAACACAGCGGACATGCCCCAAATCCTAAATGAGGGAGGGATAGACAAAAGGGATTGCAGTACGATCATGCCTTATAAGGGATGTTTTTCTCCCTCTCCCTGTCTGTCTCTCTGGCAAGCACATTTGCCCTCCAGTGAAAAAACAAAAAAAAAAGAAAAGAAAAAAAAATCTCCAAGGACATTACTAGACAAGAGATTTGTCCATAATCCTGACCAATATGGTCATCTCTGCTAATATATATTTGGGTAGCCTATGACTAGAAGAATTATTAAATCCACCATAACCACAGTTTTAGCCAAGAGCTTCAGCCTCTTCTATGACTCTGGACAGGTCTGAGTGTCTTCCACCCTTCTCTGGTAGAACCAATTAAAGTGAAAAAGGCTAGAGTGGGATCCTCAGCCTTCTGTCCCCACTACAACACAGGATGGACGAATCCTTTATGATCATAACTGGTTCAAAGAAGTGAGAGTGGAATTACCATGAATACAATCAGTTTTTGTTTTGGGTAAAAAAATAACATTTGTGATCTTCAAATGTTGGTACTTAGCTATTGTTTAGTTACTAATTGTTCATGACATCCCTTGAACCTGAAACAATGTGAGAGGGGACGAGATAGCAGAAGGAAATTCCAAGGAAATGTTAAAGGCCTTGTTGATTGCCCTGGCGCTGTGTGCTCTAGTGTGGCTTGTAGGCTCTGCACTGCCATTGTTGGGGTATTCACACGTGAGGCAGTGTCTCTGTGCTGGGGTTTCCACTTGGCAAATAGACTACTGTCTCTCAACTCCAAATCCACCCTCTGGACTCTCCTTGGTGACGCTAGACTGGATTCTAAATTATATGTGCTATTTGCTAACCATCTTCCTAGTGGGGTTCTGCAAATAGGGGGTGCAGGGAAGCAGTTCAAATCAGTGTTAACCCAACAGTTACTTAGCAGCTGGTTCCAGCCACTATTTCTTTCAACAATTTTGAATAATTTTGATGAATTTCTTCCAAGGTCTAGTGGCAGCCAGGGAGGGCCATCTTCTCAGACCTAGGCCCAGCTCCCAGCTCTTCTTCTGACCTCCTGAAGTACTAGAGCTGGATGGAGACTCCCTTCCCAGGGATCTGCACTCCAACTCTGTGAGGAAAACTCCCCAAACTTCTGAGTGGTGGTACCCCAACTGATCCTCTCTAGTCTCTCAGCCTTTGGAACCTACAGTTACTGCCGCTGTGTCAACTTAGTGCTTCACACCAACTTCTGTTCAAGCAGTTCCCCATAGTAAATGCTCTGTTGAATACTAAATGTTGCTTCCATTTCCTTACTAAGATGCTGACAAACAAATTTTAGGTTTGAAAAAGTGACATAGCTCTTCAAAATTTTAATCCAGCAGGAGGCCAAACTTTTGTTAAATAACCAATCTGTTCCCAAGAATGAGAATATGAGCATATGTGTATATCCTTGATTTGATTGGTACACACTGTCTGCATGCTTTGAAAAACCCCACTGTATACTTCACAGACCTGTACATTGACTATAAGTAAACTAAATAATAAAAATTTAAAAAGAGAGGAGACAAAAGAAATTAATTTTAAAAACCTTTGGGGGCTAGTAGCGGTGGCACAGTGGTAGCACAATGCTTTGTGATGCTGGACCCAAGTGACAAGGTCCTGGGTTTGCATCAGGAGGTCTCCCCAGCTACACCAGGTATGTGAGCCCGTAATCTAGGCCAGCTGGGGCTGAGGATGGACACAGCCTGAACACCCAGTTGGTGGCCTGTCTCTCCTTCTCTGCCCACCCCATGTCTACCTTTCTCATAAAAGAAATAAAATAAGCTTTTAGAAAATCCTTACTCTTGACTCTTTGTTGCAAAATCTTGTGGCATCTCTATTAGAATCATTGAGTTTCTAATAGACTGATGGAAGGCTTTTGGGAATCTGCTACTCCAGAAAGAGGTAAATCACAAGACAAAGTACCCAACCTTTAAAAGAATGTATCTCACCATTGCATTTAACACCACAGCTATTATTATTCTTCACACAACTGGTTGAATAAACACGCACACAAAATTCTATTGGGTTCCATCTTCCTCTCCATCCCAAACTTTATTTTTTCACCATGTAATTTGCTTTTGTAATTCATTTGGTTAATGGTTCCATTCTGTAACTAAAGGAGCTAGAAATAGCCAAGATGTGCTTTTTTCCTTTTTCATCTTTTTTCAAGTTTTAATTGCTATCTGGCTGGTCCTCTAAATTTGATGGTTTAGGTATAGGAGATATTTGCCTATGGCAGAAAGGGAAGCTTGCTTTTAGAATCGAAGCTATCTGAAGTTGGAGGAGACACTGTTTCTAATAAAAAGGTTCTGATTGAAGCCTTGACTCGGAAGTCAAAAACATGCAGACATATGCTTAGATGCTATTTACAGAACATTCACCTGATATAGCAATGCTATTTTGCACTAAGATATCAATGGTAGACCTTTAATGTACTGAGATGGGTGGGTTTCTATATTAAATACTGAGAGGAAATAACACTACATTTAAACATTTATGTATTGAAAAACAGTGCGATCCAGAGTAATAAACTGAATGTCTATTATCAATTTTTTTAAAAAATTCTTCTGTATTGAAGTACTACCAAGTAAGGTAATCTCTTGGGAACACTTTGTGGCAATTTTTCATGAGGTACTAAGCCCAACTCAGTTTACTCTGATTAGTCCTAGGAAAACATTCTAAATTGTGTTGGTTGGCCACACTAAAAAGAGGCCCTGAGTTAAATGCACTAGAGAGAAAAGAAAAATGACTAAGAATCGATGTGCTAAATGGCATTACCTGAGGACACATGTTGCTATGGTGCGAATGTGTCTCTTCAAAATTCGTGTGACACAATTTGGTTGTGATGGGATTAAGAGGATGAAAATTTAATCGAACTATGGGATTAAAAGGTGAGGTCTTTGGTAATTGATTGGGATTAAGGTCATGTGGACAAGAATCCCAGGATTACATCACAACCAAAATTTGTCACACGAAATGTTTTTGTTACAGGCATTGCAACATACTAACATACACATATACAGGACTCAAAGAGAGAAGAACCACCAGCAAACTTAGCAATTATCTTTATCCTCCAAACCTGCAAGCAAACTGGTCTGTTTGCTCTTGGCTTTATTCTGTGCATGACCACTATTAACACATACACACACACACACACACATACACACACACACACAATTCTGTTTATCTCCCGAGCTCTAACTTTGAAACCAGGAGATTAAGTCAGTCCATACTTCCTCAGGGAAGTGCCAGTTAGAGGGAAGCTGCTACAACCTGAAAAAGTAAGTGTGGGCCTGAAGCAGAGAGCAAAGAGAATGCACAGACTTACTAAATGATCTTCAACAGTGGGGGTAACACGGTCTCAATGCAAAGAGGAAATCCTCCTGTGGATGTAACCTTCATAGTAGGCTAATTTTGCATTACTTTTTGTTTGCATTATCATCATCTGTCTGCAATGGGCTGAAATTATTAGAAAACTAAGCCGCACAGTGCTTGGGAAGAAGGATTCCTAGGTTGAAAGCATAGTTGTAGGAGAAAAATACCAAGACAGAAATAAACAACGGCCTACCTGGTGACCATTCTCTTATTATAAGAAAATGTTTACTTTTCAATATTAATACAGTTACATGGCAACTTCATTGTCGATCTATATTTTCCAGAAATGGAAGGTTCTCACAGTAAGTGAATCTGCAGAGTGACGTATTGGGTAATCTATGCTGGGGGTGGGGGCATTGTCAGACAGGTGGTCACTGGACAAAACCAAACTAAAAGAACATCTAATTTTAGCTCCTGTAACCAGAGAAAACCATGATCCCTAAAAATCACAAGGTGGTATGCAAAGTAAAATGCCAGAGGGATAATCGCTGTTTCCTGAAAGGACCTTTAGACTCTGTCTTATCCTTGACCAGAAGCTTCTTCCAATTAGCAGACTTAATCAAGCGAAGGCTTTCCAAGAAAGGGTTTCTTACCTCTCATAATGTCTGCGGGTACAAGTGGCGGCGCTGGTGCTCCCAGGATTACCGCCTAATTCATCATAAATATGTTTCCACTGACGGCGGGCTGTTATCTGAAAAAATGGCAATGGGAAATTCAATCTTGCAGCATAAGAGATTCACAGTGCCAGGCTTCAATACATATGCAACAGTCAGAAGAGAACAGTCTGTTCTGGAAACCCAGAAACAGAGAAGTCCAAATGAGTATATGGGGAGACATGGTTTGATAGTGAGATCTCACTTTCAGCACTTTTCTTTACAACAAAAATGGAATTGAACATTTGGCTCTATATGTTGTCACCCTTGGTGCATTTACAAGTAAAGCATCTCTCTGGATATGCATCTAGCTATTTGCCCCCAAGGTCCCCAACTCATATCCTGTTTCTTGACATGATTAAAACATCAAAATCAGAGCTTAGCTAAACCATGGCTTAGTTCAGTTTAAGGGAATTCAAGTTAACATTGGGTGCTGGAGTTGGGTAGAAATGAGCAGCTGAGTTTGAGATAAAAAGACACTTTTCACCAAGCTTTGTTTGTTTGGTTTTTGTCTCTTACAATTTTTAAACCTTGTGATGTGTTTTCTACTTGAAAAACTACATAAAATGACTACATACACTAATGAAAATGATCAAATGGGTTGTGGAGTGTACAGTTATCTCAGGCTGTATTTGTATGCCCGTTTCTCTAACCACGAAAACAAAAATCTGAAGCTATGTATGTCACAAGCTGTTTATTTTTATTCACTTGGGTCAAGAAAATGGGATATTGATCAAATCCTATGAAAACCACCATATTCCAAAGTTAAAATACTCTCTATGTATATCATTGAGTTAAGTGAATAAAAACAAACAGCTTGCAATACAAGGAACTGCACACTATGGCTCTCTTTTCTTTTTTTTTTTCTTTAATTTTTGTACATAAATGAAGATTTTACAAAATAACAGATGCAAGATCTGGCAAATGATTAATTTGGGGAAACCGCATCATTTACTATAAGCAAGCAAGTCTGGTGTTTCTTTGGAACTGGGATGACAGGACAAGTTCTGAGGTTCTGGTGAAGGTTTCTGAACAGGGTTACGGGAAAACTCTGTTATTGGAATGTGCAGGCAACAGGCTGGGGCAAAGGTGCCAGTGGCATTTAATACGATCGGAGCAGGAGGCGTCTGCTGAAAAATACCTGCAGAGCTGCCAACGGAGTTCACCAAGGGATTAATGGCAACAATCAGGGGAAAAAACAAAATCCCAATTTGCAAAGGGGACCCTCTAATAGGAATGTAAGGAGAGATGTGTGGTTAAATATTATAGCGTAAATGGTAACTCCCATTTCAAATGAAAAGAGCCCCTTCATTTTCTGACCTTTTCTCAACAGGCTCAGTAGGGCCTCTAGACAATGTTAGTTTTGCATTGTTCAATTTCCCACGAGGCAGTCTTGAGCCAATTGGTTTCAACAGTGCTCATTACGCAGAACCACCTCTTAACAACTTACTAGCAGGTAGAACTGAAAAATAAAATCCTCTTTATTTAAAACCTGCTTTAGATGATAACAAATGGTTTTAAACACCTTTCGAAATGCTCAGAATATATATCGTTATTTTTTATTTGATTATAATCTACCTCCAACCTTTACATGCTACAACTTGGGCTGACCTACTGGAGGCTTATATACCAAGGAAGAAGAAAAAGGATCCCCTCCCAGGTGTCTTCGTTATTCTTTAAAGCCTTAGAATAGTGAGTCCCCTTCAAACACACCCCTGTATCCTCCTCTCTCAGATGAGGTGCATGTGTCCCAGAGAGCACAGCAAGGCCAGAAAATCACCTCGGTGTATCTCTGCAGTCACCGCAGAAGGAACCATTCCTTTCGCCATCTTTATGTCTCCTGCGTGGGCTATCTTGTGTATTTTATAAAGGAATTTTACATCTATGGTGTCATTTAATCTCCCATGGCCTGTGGGACAGGTTATAGGTATCTCACTTAGAGATGAAGGAAACGAGAGGAAGAGAGGTTGCTTGATGTGCCCTGTGACACAGCAGCAGTGGCACAGCTAGGGCTCATACAGTTGTCTCATGGTCCCAAGAGCAAACTTCTTTACCCCACGTCAAAGTAGCCTCCACACCTGAAGGATAGCCTATGCTTGTAGTAAGGGGTAACACAGAACTCCAAGAACCTTTTCCTTCACTGAAGCACACAGGACTATGAGAGTTGGAGAACTCAACCTTTAGCTTTGGGTCTTTCCTGGTAGGGAAATATAGCTAAAAGGACAGCTAAAGTCTAAGGGGAGGAGATCTGAGACTTTACCCTCTTAAAGGATAAAGTAAAACTGTGACCACTTGTGTCTCTAGTTAGAACAGAGATTCACCATGAAGTCATCGATTAGTCCCAATTATATCAGAATCCACCGACTCATTCATCCATTAATTCGCCAAAAATGTATTGACCATCTCCCATTGACTATGGGATGCAACCACAAAAAGCCAACCCAACACCCAAGAAGACTGCTTTCTAGTGGAGAATACCAAAAAGAACAAAGAAGCAAGTGGACAAATATATAAATAGAATAATGGAGAGGAAGAGAAATGCAAGGAGAGGGACCACTGCTGAGAGGGATATGTACTATGTAAAACTGACCATGTTCCCCTCCCTCAACCTACTGTCCAGACTTGGGAATGCCCTATAAACACCTGTCTACCAGGGAAATGATGACACTGCCTTAAGAATAAATACTAAACTGGGAACCAGTAGTTAGCGTAATGGCTATGTCGCTGGACTCCCACGTAGTCGACCGCGGTTCGTGTCCCGGACCCGGTGGCTTAAAACTCACGCCGGGCACGTGTGCGTGCGTGCCCAAGATCCCGAGAGGAGAATGGAGGAGAAGGGATTGCGGCGTGACCATCCCCCCTGGGGGGTGATTTCTCGCTTTCTGTCTCTATGTCTCTCTCTGTCTGCCTGGCGAGCGCACGTGCCCTACAGTGAAAATCTCTCCAAAAAAAATAAAAAAGAAAAAAAAAAAAAGAATAAATACTAAACTATCAAAGGGGGAGGGAATCAACCTCACACTAGGTTTGAGACTGTGGCCATGGGAAGCCAGCATCAAGCATCACTGCTGCTGCTGAGCTCTGAGCAGCTGGTTAAGGGTCTATTTAAGCCCCAACTGGGCGGTTCTGGTGTTTAAATACAGTTCTTACCAGTCAGGGTTCATCTGAAGTGAAGGCTGGTTTGACCTTCGAGGAAGCGATCTCTCTGTTTACCAAGCTTCCCATGGATGGCCTGGATGAATCAGGCCATTTGAAGATACTTTCCACAGGAAAGTCATAAAATAGGCTCTTCCCAACTGCTAAATGCTTTTAAGCACACAGTTTTCCTGGGCACAGAATGCTATTTTTTGTCTCCAGATGTACTTTTAATTCAAACACTGACCACGAGCTCTAGACAAAGAAATTTCTAATTCCTTCCGTTGTCCAAACCCATAATGCGTCTCAAAGCCCAGTAATGAAGGAGGAAAGGGGACGAGAACTGCTCTTGGTCCATCTTCTGGGCCTCGTGCTCCCAGGTACACTGGCCCTCTGCATTATTATGCTTTAGGTGTGCCTAATTATGCATTTATTCAGGGTTCTTATTCTTGTGTCTGCTGTCTTCTCTGGACGTGTGTTAGCTTTAAAACCCCATTGGGGTGAAACCAATGTCTACGTCCTGGTATTCAGTTCCTAACCCCATTCAGCTGGAAAATTTGAGCTAGCCATGGGACTAGTTTTATCAACTCTTTCACTAAGACTCAGACTTCCTGGTTATATTCATTTCAATTTAGCCTTCTGTTATACTAGGTTTGTGAAGATACAAAGAAGTTCTAGCTCTTTGTTTCTTAAAGAAATGGCCAACTTCATCCAAGTTATTTCTCTTGCATTACGTTTCCTCTGTTCACCTTCGAGATCCTCACTTAGATGACAGAGATTCACGATGTCACCTCCCACTCCTGTTTACCATCTAAGGACCATGCTGGGTACGAAAGCATGGAGGTAGAAGGGAAGGATGGTGGGGAGAGATCATCAACAGAAAGAGATGTGACTGCTTTCAATAATTCATTTTTAGCAGGAAGTCTAGTCCTCTGTAGTTAACCATAAAGACGAGTAATAAGCAGACTACACTCAAGTAAAATATCCCAATCTGGGTGTCTTTCGCCTTGAAGACATTTGAAAGATATTTCT